ATATTTCCTTTAAATATAAAGAAATTAACATAACTTGACAAATAAAGTTCTAACATAAACTACCAACAAATAAACAATACATTTCTCCCAAACTCCCCCCTTTCTTATATTGGGCACTTGGTGCAGTCCAGGCCTAGTGGGAGGTATTTAAACCTGCTGCTTCCTCAGTCCAATCTTTTGGCTGAACTGCTGGTGGTGGTCTAGGTCCTCACATGGTGAAGGCCAGGACTGAGGCCTTCACACTGACACACACTGGCTAAATGTACACAAAATCTAGATATATCAAATAAAAGTGACATTGCTCCTGCTTATACCCTGTGTGATAAAATGTTAACACATATTTTCAGATCTCTGTTGCAGTTGTACCTTCATTATTTTTAAAATGGTGTTAATGCCCAGAAGGACCTCAGTCTAATCTGTTAGTACATACAGTATGTTACATGTTCACATTTCATGTTCAGGAGTATGAAAGTTTTCCATATTGCTCGTGTCCCACAGATGGAACAGTGAGTGGATAAAAGTGAGAATGCAATTTTTGTTTGTACATTCTTTTTGCCTGCAGAGTTTGTGTAACCTCTGACTTTGTTGTTCCCCTCCAGTGGTGGAAGAGGCCTTGCCAGCCATGTGTAAGGTACGGACGATGATCTATGAGATCCCTAGGAGCCAGGTGGATCCCACTTCGGCCAACTTCATCATCTGGCCGCCCTGCGTGGAGGTGAAACGCTGCACCGGCTGCTGTAACACAAGCAACATGAGGTGCCAGGCGGCACGGAAGCACCACCGCACTGTCAAGGTACAAAACAAAATCATGTTTCTACTCTCTGGTATGTCTGAAAAGTGGATTTACTGGTCTTGGAGAGTACTACTGCATTTGAGTAAAGCACAGTATGAAGCCTTTTCTGGCTAAAGAGGAAGCTATATGAAATCTGACAAGTGGAATCCATGGAGGTCACTCCAGTCAGTGCTGGTTGAGTCTGAAGACCAAAAGTTTGAAAATGAAAAAAATCTTTAAGTGTGGAGTTAAAGAAGTGAGTTTACCAGAGCTCTGTAGCCTGCTGCTGCTCTCTGCCTGAGGCCAGAGGCTGCATCAGCCAGTGCTAGCATAACAAAAGCAAATCTCCTGTTGCTTGTTGAGCTGCACTGTGGGTAAAGCATGTGCCAGGTTTTGAGAAGGAAGAGTAGTACGGGAATAATCTCTGGTTTTGCTCCATCAGTTTTTGTTTTTTCTAAACTTTCCATTGTGATTCCAACAACATTTACACAATACAGACAAATACAGTGTTTTATAGGAGTTCAGTGCTACCTGGTCGAGTGCTCTTTGACGAAGGTGGACAGATGAGATGACAGATAAGACGACATCCTGCATTAGGCACTATACCAGAGACCCTATATATAGCTGCATGTCCCTTAGTAACAGACGTCTTTCAGATGGGTTTTGCAGTGTTGTTGCTAAAGGCAGCGGTGAACATGTAAACCGACACTGAAAGTCCAATAGAACTAGTATACATGAAAGGCAGTAGAAGGAGCCACAAATGTAACTTTATTAACTCATACTGTCAGTATTCCAACGTGTTGCCACAATCTGCAAAATATTCAGTTGGACACACTCCCAAAACCAATGATAGCATGTAAATTCACATCCACTTACTGCAGATAGATCCTCTGCACCTGGCAAAAACAATTACCAACCAATTATTAACCATTTTGTCATTGTGAGTGCGTGAGTGCGAATTTGACAGTGAGTTCATGAACATAATAGCTTCCTCTTGATCGCTGACAGAACTGGAAACAAGACTCCATAAGCCCCGAGTGGGTCATAGTCACACGCCTGGGAGTGAGCCTAAGGTGTGTGTGCATCTCAGAGTGTGTGAGATTTTGTCTGCACTCAGGAAGATGAGACACACTAAGACGCACTTTTAAGTCAATAGAATAACATTAACTTCTTATTGATTCACTGTGTATATGTGAGCATGTCTGAGATTTAAAGCAGGCATTGAGAAATAGGAAGAGTGATAGGTGGGTGGGTATTAGTGTGTATTGCCAGAGGTTGAGAGAGGAAAAGAGAGGACAATTTTGAGTCTCTGTGCTTTGGCTTGCTGATGCCCAGTCTGAGATTAAAGGATGTGCTCTTTGTCTGCTTACAAATCAAAAATAAAGTCACTCATGTGCTGAGATCTGGTGTTCAACTGTGCTCACACACAAGCCACAAGGGATGAGGCAGTGCTGGGGTTAGGTGACGTGTCCACTGGGGAGACGAAGAGAGAAAATAACGGTAACATAGGACTGGAATCTTAACCTCACTACTGCCATACCAGGTTCTGAGTGTGTGGTGAGAGTCTGTACCTCCATGTATTAAAAATCACATTAATATACAAATAATGTGCATTAGCCCTGGTTTACACTAACATAGTGATGCACATTCACAACCCCTGAGCAGCTGAGGGCTAAGGGTCTTGCTCAAAGTCATGTCAGTGGTGATAATAAGGGGAGGACTTGATCCCACTAGTCCTCGGTTTACCAAGTGTGTTAGTCCCTAAAGCTTAAAGGATGTGAATCACAGGCTCCATTTCAAAGTCCTGTGCTTTGTACACACATTACCCGGCTTGACCGCCCTAAAAACCCCTTCAGCTTGTCAGTGTCAAACTGTTTCCGTAACTTTACAAACCTTATAATCTGAAAGACAGTGATGGGCCAGGTACAGTAAGTTTGGGTTTAGCAGCGCAGGTCTTCACCTCAGCTGAACCTTTGTTTTAAAGTCTCAACTCAGTATACTCTGAGTCTGTTCAGACTTGAAGCAGGGACGGTTGTGCAATCAGACCTGAAGCTCCACTGATTTGGCTCCTTATTCAGGATGTGAGAATCAGCAGGTAGTGCGTGTGTCTGTGTGTGCATGTGCCATTGTTTCTGTATATTTACAGTACGCTGGGTACAGTATGTTGATGCTTATACAGTTGTGTTTATATTATCTGTGTGTGTAGCAAGTGCAAAAACAGGTTCAGCCATTCAGTGTTAGTGTTGCGTGTGTTGACACAGAACAAAGGTTGCATCACTTGGTGTCACTGAACCTGGCAGTGTTAATCTAAACTAAAGCCAACACACCTGTGTGTTTGTACAGTACAGTGATAGTTGTCATTTGCAAATAACAAGCTTTTTGTCTGTTGTACTATGTATGTACAGTGGAACTGAACTTGAAATGTTACTCATTAAGGGCTCCTTAATTTCAGGTATTGGTTGGTTTCTTTTGCTTCTCCAGCCAAACTTTGTTTGACCCTGCAACTATAAATTTATGTAAAGTTCTGTTCATGTTTGCAAAGAAGCTAAATATGTCAGGATCCTTTCTAAATGTAGAATTTGGGGGGAAAGAATATATATATATATATAGTATGGTTTTATTATGTGGAATATATGTGTCACAGAGTGTCCGAAAAGTTTTTTCTCCAGATTTGTTCAGATTTCACTGGCTCCTAGTGTACACTAATAATACTTTACTGAGTTTTTACTAATGTGCCAAATTAATGGTGGGTTTGACTCAAAATGGTCTTCTCATGAGATGTGCTGACAGTAAGCAAAATGCAGACTATCACCAAACATCACCTGTAAATTGGTGCTGTGAATTCTGAGCATTTCACAGATTAAGGTTTAAGCAGAATTAGTAGGGTGGGAGTTTTCCTCTCTATGCTATTCCCTCTGTTTTTCTGTCTCTCCAGGTGGCGAAGGTGGAGTATGTGCGGCGGCGACCCAAGCTGAGGGAGGTGCAGCTGAGACTGGAGGATCACCTGGAGTGCATGTGCACCAACCAGCACCACATCAGCACAAACTCAGACACAGACAATGGTGAGCTTGTATGCATGTGTGTGTGTTTTTGCACTTGCTACAGAGTGAGGACATTTTGGCTGGTCCTCACTTTGTGAAACACCTTTTTGAGGGTTAAGACTTGGTTTTAGGGTTCAGGTTCAGGTTAGGGTTATGTTCAGGCATTTAGTTCTGTTGGTTAGGGGAAGGGGCTAGGGAACGTATGATGTCAATGAGTGTCCTTACAAAGATGGAAGTACAAGTGTGTGTTTTTATGTGTCGGTTCATTGCACATGTGAAGGCTGCTCCTGTCTGAATGTGTCTACTGACACCAGAAAAGCTGATAAGAGATCTGAGGTATCTGCAGTGTTTTTCCTCTCTGCTTGAGTTAGTCCTCTCTCAGGGCAACACCCCCCTCACACACACAGCCTACACACACCCTATTACCCATATCTCTCCCCTGAACTAGAGCCAAGTGCAGACAGCAGGATTAATGCAGATGCTTTTTCCCAGTTCTAACATGTATTAGAATAATTTTGAATGAAGATGGATTTATTAATTATATATTGTGTGTGTGTGTTTGTAAAAGTCTGATGTCAGTGTAACACGGTCACTGAATGAAACAAATCACACGTTTGATACCCAGGACAGAAATTTGTCCAACAACCTGCAGTTTTTGCATTTGTGACATTAAATACAAACTGTAAAATCCTTTTAGTATCAGTATTTATCATTGTACAGTGTTTTGGTTGTAAATCACAAATGTTGTCAGACCAGTTCATATTACACCAGAGGACTGTCCTGCAATTAGGGGTAAAAGGTCACTTC